GACGGGAATAAAAGCACAAACAAGCACAAACGAAGCACAAACGACTGTAAAAATTTGAACTCGAAAGTCCGAGGTGGGGGGGCTGGGGACATGCAGCTGTTTTCGAAGTATGCCAAGCTATTTATGATAATTTAAAGGAAAAATATTTAAAGGTTTGTATAAACATGTATTATTATTATTTTTTTTTATTGAACAATTTCTTAGTTAATTTTGATTTGAGCTTAACATTTTTAACTTTATATTTTATTAAATATTATCACTTATTATCACTGTTTTACGTAACTAGAGTACAAATTTAAATAATTATATTTACTTAAAACAAATCAGTGAATGAATTATAATATTCTTGGGTTGTCTGAGGCTCTTTATTTGTTGACGGAGGAATGTTCTCAGCGAAAGTAGGTGATGGCGTAGGCATTGGAATGGAGCATGATGAAGAATTTGTACTTGAATAGGTAGACCAGTGGCTTCTTTCGTCCATTTCAGCAATATTTGCCATTGATTTACGAATCTCACTTTTCAGTAGCCCTCTGTAGTAATCTGATTTTAAAGATTTTAAATCCAAAAGCATTTCAAATTGCACTGCAGACATCCGAATAAAATTATTAAACTGCTGTGCATCCTCCAACCGAAATTCATTTACAAGATTTGAAGCGGCTCCCAAGTTACTTCGACGGTCCACCCATTTCCTAACCCATCATTTCTTTTTTTCTTTTAGCTTCCGTTTTTGTACAATATTATGCGCAATTATAAAAGCTAGGGTCTGTTTAGTATATACGTGTTGAGTAGCACTCATCATTGAGTAGATCACTTTAATAAATATGTTAAAATATATTGTAAAATGCCGTAAATGCCATATACATAAAAATGCCAGTATAAACATCTGATGAGTGATAAAAGACTTTTAACTTCTACATTTTTGAATTATAACAAACATGAATGCGGATGCTGGGGTGACGTTACGCTGGCATCCGAAATGAAAATTCGAATTTTCCTGGTTTGAGTGGGTATAAAATTTTTGGAATCGTGATTACAAATTTGTACAAATTATATAACAAATTTTGGTACCGGTTTTGAGTGTCTAAAATAAAAATCATGAATGTGGATGCTGGGGTGACGTTACACTGGCATCTGAAATGAAAAAGCGTTTTTCCACCCTTTATAGGGGTGTACAAATTTTCAAAATGCGATTACAAATTTATACAAATTATACAACAAATTTTGGTACCGGTTTTGAGTAATTATTTTAACCTGCGGATGCCAGCGTAACTCACCTCACAGGGATGCCATATTAGAACCTATTATACTGACCATATTACCAGGTGATAGTAATTCGAGCGATGATGTAGACATATTTGGTAACTAATTTTGACTTTAATTAAGTAAAATTGTGTATATGAGGTTGTTTATAATATTTGTAAAAATAATAATTTGTAAATATATAACATAAGCATATAAAATGATAAAATGTTTTTAAATTTTTCATTGGATTTCCAGATATTAAAATTGAAGCCAAAGCACAATATTTAGAACTTTGTGAAGAGAACATATAGAAAATAGATTTTAAAAACATATAACTAACAACTTTTTGGCGAAAAATTGGGGCCGTGTATCTATTATTATCGGAAAAATCTTTGAAAATACTGATTTCTTTTTCCATAATGTACAGGTGTCAAAGTAAATTTTTAACAGTAGTAACAATGACAATAAAGTATAAGAACTTGGAACACAGCATAAGATGTGCATTGGCATATTGCCGATTGGGGTTGCGTTTTGTCGGTTATGTATCGACAAAACACAAAATGTGATCCAACATTTAACTTCTAATCATTATTGACTCGTATCTTTAAAGTTAGAGTAATTCTATAATATAGTCTCTAATGATATTCAAAAGTTGAATTTTCTGTTTTTAAAAATTACTGATAGCGATCGACCGTTCGATAATAAACGTTTCATATGGCAACGTTGGGAAAAATTAATGTATTGATGTTTTTAATTGTAATGCTAAAATTGTCGTTTTCAAATCCATCAATTTCCATCAAATGGCCGCATACGATGTACATACACAACTGTAACTGTTGGCAACAGCGCCTATAGACGTTGTTATTACATCTAGAAAGTTACGTGCAAACTATTCCATCGTGCTGTGTCTTTGATCTTTTTCCTTGAAGTGTGTGTTCGTCTCGAAATTGTAGAAAATGGAAGTCAATTATACGTACAGTAAGCGCAGACGGGAGTTCGGCAAACAATGTCGTTTCGCCGATTCCGAGACGAGTATTTTGACGAATGTGATGCCTGACATCAGCTTGGAAGATCAGTGGATACCGAAGAATCCAGTGAACATGAGAACTAATAATAGTGTAGAGTGGTCGGAGCACGAGGTGGTTATAGATAAAAAAATAAAATATTACACGCTCACATGTTTTCAATATAAATAAATATATAGACGTTCACATGTGCTTTGTTTGTGGCGTATAGGCAAACACGGAGCGCGTGGAATACGCTGATCGAGGGATGTGTCACATGGAAGGTGGTTGGCCCAAAGATATAAACCTAGATGATCCGGAACAAATGGTTAGATACCGGAAGAAAGCGGAAAAAGAAGAATCGTACTTACAATCGGTCATGCAAATGTCAAATGTAAGTACGGTTGATTAGGTGAAAAAATTTAAAATATACTACCTAGTATAACGTATTTTTCGGCTCTACCAGAATGATAATAACAACAAAATTGTTATCCCTCCAAGCGTTGAATGATAGATACTGTATCCAACAAATTTTAAAAATATTAAAATTATTGACTATCATGACACAATTGAGGTTACTGTGATTCGTATAAGCCATTTATAACGAATTAAATATTAAATAGTCATTGGTATGTAAAAAAACTTATGATCTCGTGTAAAAAGATAAATTTGAAATAATCAATGATCAGTTAACAACTATTTATTTTACAAAAAAATGTTAAGCCTCTTTTATACACTTCTTTAATTTTACTCGAATATTGCTCTTGGAATTCAATTTTGTTTTCAATAACGCTAAAAGAAATAACCGATATCATAAAAATATTACATAATTGAAATGTCTTTTTCACATTTCTTATTCATATCAGAATCTAAAATATCGTTTGAAGATACAGAAAACCACAAGTTTCAATCTAGGACAAATGGACGTGAAAATAACATAAATAATAATTAATTAATTTTATTCGGATGTACATAATTTTATTCAAATATGGCGTCAAATATGATAATATATATAAAAATAAATATAAATTATGTATATAATAATATAAAATATTATATAAATAAAAAGAAGTTACTTAATACAATTTCATAACATTAATTATAATAATTATAATTATTATAATATAATTTTTCTTATAACTGAAAAAAAAATATTATTATTATTTATGTTTTTTTCGAGTCCAAATGTACCCGAGCCCAAACGGCCGCGTCTAAATGACCTCACGTTCAAATGACCGCGTTCATTTGTTCTTGTTCACATGAGTTTAAACTTGTTAAACTAAGTTTTAGGCACAAAATTAATTTTGCACCTAAAACGTATTTTCAGAGTGTGATTTTAGTCATATTGAAATTGAGAAAAATAATTTTTGAATTAGATGAATCAAAAATGTTAACATCATTATGCGTGTGTATATATATATATATATATGAATAAGCGTGAAAAAGTATGTAATAATTGTAATTCATTTACAATGTTTTAACAAAATTATATAATTATTCATGTTAATTTTTTATAAAATCGCAACAAAACAATTTTTTTTATTAATTAATGATAACATCTGCTAAGGCGTATAAAGTATAGAGAATATGTATTGAATAATGTAAAGTATAAAATTAATTGACGAAACATTTTTCGAACTTATAACTCTCATAAAAAAAAATCTAAAAACAGATTTTCGTTACTATAACATTATATTTTTTTAACGAAAACAAGAATAATAAAATTACGTTTTCTTGGTACAAATAGGGCGTGTTACGTGCCACCTGCTCGATTTAAAATTAGTAGTCGATGATATATGATGTTAAATTAAATAAGAGACTTAAACTTTTTATAATACGTTTATTAAATAATTCAAAGTGTTAAATAAATCTGATACAAATTGACGTGAAGTTTCTCGCAGTTTTCTGACCAGAACTCATCTAAATTACGGCAATTTCCATTCTTCTTTTATATAGTTCAATTGACGTCATAGGGCACCGTACCTGTTGTTTTGGTGATATCCAGAAATAGGTTTGTGACTTTGTTGTCTATTGTACAGTTGCCCTTCGCTGATTGTGTGTATTGACGTGTTCCTCTATTAAATAGTACATTCGCAATTCCCAGTATTTCTAATTTACTATTATTTCATGTGTATTTACATTGATAGGTACAATAAAATATATAAAAAACATAGTACAATATATTACAAATAGACATGATTCACACAATGATACACATATCAGTATTTCCTATACATTTATATTTAGAAATGACAAGTGTACAATGATTGTTAAAATTAATTCGACCCCTCTCCCTTGAAAACTGTCTAGGGACGCATTTGGAGTTAATACGTCAAGTGGCAAGAACTCTTAAACACCTTAGTTTATACAATATTAGTATTTAGGAAAATCGTTATCTCTTACAAGAGTAACTCGGCAGTTAATTATATATTTTTAATTCTTACCCCTTTCGAACGAATAACTATACACGATGAGTTTGAGGAAAAAGTAATGTGCTATTTTAAATTTCAGGTCGCTGAACATTTCATAAAACAAAATAATTCCATAGATATTTATCAATCGTATTTTACCGATCCAAGTGATCAGAAGGTGCAAACATTAATGCCATCGTTTCGAACCGTCGCAGTGATGCCTGACCCTTGTGATCCAATTAGGCCAGTACAACACATATCTTGGTCACCAGATCAGGATCTGATTGCAGTCAGCTACGCCGATATAGGATTCCAGGCAGCTAATCCACAGAACAGTTCAGATTCTTTCATATTCACCTTAGGTAAAAAGTAACAATTATAAATGTTATAAATTAGTACATAATACTCTATTTTATGGGCCCTCTATGCGCAAGGAATTTTTTTTGTTCTCTTTTAGACCATCGGCCATTAGACGTATAATGTATATTGTGACAGCTTATGTGATTTTGGTTTTTTTTTTCAGAGTCCAACACACCGTATTTCTCGATCGAGTCGCCGCATCCAATCATCACGCTCGAGTTTAACCATCGAAACGCTCAGTGTCTGGCGGGTGGGTTGATGAGCGGCCAAGTCGCGTATTGGGACATTCGCAAGAGCTCGGCAAACGTCGCTATCAGCAATCTAAGACACGGACACCGCGATCCCGTTAGAAGTCTCTATTGGATTCATTCCAAGACCAATACGGAATTTTACACAGGTTCAAGTGACGGGCAGGTACGTACATTGTAATACTATATAAAGGCGGATTTTCTTCACCGCGGTCGCATTAAACACGGATCTGTAATCATATATCTATGCGTATGACTATACTGGATATTATTAGTTGATAAGTACTAACGATTTGTTTGATACATGGGATACTCAATGAAAAAATTTTAAAATAAATTTACAATGAAACAAACTAAAAAATATTTGAATAATAATATAATATAACATACTATTGTGATTCGTTGACGCCAAAACTTAGTGTCAGCTCAAGTAGTGATGGGTTTGAGAAAAATCGCGATGAAAAGGCAAAATACAAAATAAAAGTATAGTAAATATATATATATATATATATATATATATATATATATATACTAACTGACCCGACACACGTTGTTTTTTCATATAAATTATTTCTAGAGAAAATTAACTAATTTAATATAACTGTGCAAGGATGTGGTATATAAGTAGAAGAGGTATGGAGTGCTGTGAGCGGTAATGGAATATAAAAATGAAAAATTATCAAACATTTATTTTTTTAATAATTTATTAAAATTGATCCTTTAAAATTATATACATCGCTAATTATGACAATATTAGTAAGAAACAATATCAATCCCTTAATGCAACAGAGTGTACAATATTTTTTGTTATCCCATCATTTGCAACACAAACTGGATGGTTCGAGAACACGCCACGTATAAATTATCCGTGTGAAAAACATGATGTGCTCAAATCCAAGCCACAGACAAACATCGTTTGGCCTTGAGACTTATTGATAATCATTGCAAATGCCAATCAAATTGGAAATTGAAGGCGTTTAAATTGTATTGGCACATCTATGGGTATAATAGGAAAAATTTGCGGCAATAATATATTTTCACCTCGGAATTTGCCATTTAAAACGATGGCTTCGATAACATTTCATTAATTGTTTAATGAATAATCACTTGCCGTTGCACAACCGTGGTGGGTTCAAATAACGAAGCAAAATAACCGGAAATCCAACCTTCAGTTGTAAATTATGTGGTGGCTTACCTGGTAAATACAATGAGTTTAAAAACTCTGTTGAATAATTTACAGCTTCAGTAGCATCGCAAACTGTATCAATAGATTTGTATGACACCAAATCTCCTGGTAACAAATGTTGTATCTTGATATTCAATTCGTTGACGTCCACATTTTTTGCTGCTAAAATTGCTCTTTCTGCCAGCCACTCATGATTTGTGTATTGTCTGTGTACATTGGGAAATATCTGGTCAATAAAAGCATCTTGCGAATCAATGATTGTGCAGAAATCGGTCGTTCATTTTATGTATTCCGTTTCATCTGTAATAACTTTCCCATCACCGATATCTAACAATTGTTTTGAGAATCTTCCGCACGCAGCTTTTTTTTGATTAAATCGCAAGTATCGAAATCGTTCACTCTCTATCTTAACATACAAGTCGACCATGAATTGTTGACAAATCTCACGACATCGTAGAATAACGTTGTCCTGATCGCGTCTAATCATCAACCGATATGCATAATAATCCTTCGAACTAACATTCTTGTTTGTTTTGGCACCTGTCACGGGATCTTGTTGTTTAATATTTATGCAATACCCGTCATTTAATACCAAAAATAACATTAATAGTTTTTGAATAGTTTTTAATAGTTTTTTTTAATAATTCATTTTCAATTGCGCAATTATCGACCTAGTTAAAAATTATTAAAATAAACTACGATTCATTAAACAATAGCACTTTTCCAACATTTTTTTTTCCTATAAACCTTCCCAATTGCGAACAATTAAAAAAAATTAAACCAAATCGATCCAGCCGTTCTCAATTGATGAAATGTTACACATTTTTGGCTCCATTTTTATATATATATATATATATATAGATATATAATGTTACCGTCAATGATGATAATTAGGCATTATTAAAAATTACTAGTCTATGTTGACGCTGACTGTTTTGATAGGCATTGATATAATTGGCTAGTTATTTTAGAGAATGCCTTAGACAGACAATAATAGATACTTTTTATAATAGCTCGTTGTCCATTACTCGTATGTGAATTATACCATCTAAATGTTAATGGTGATTCAATTATTTATTATGATATCGTTAATTTGTAGATTGTGTAAATTATTCGTGAAATTATTATCATTATTATACATAATGTAATTGTAATTATTTTTGTCTTGTCAGTCGCAATAGCGGCCCGTCTCCTTTTTCTGTTTTTTTTTTTGTCGTTCGTCGTTCGGTCGCTATTGAAGCACCAGTAAATTATTATTATTCTTGTTTTTTCTTGTTGTTAGCCATTACAGCAACACATGTTATTAGCTGCAACGTGTTCATAATAAATTATTTAATTACTAATACCAAATCGTTTGTGAATTATTGTCTACTAGATGCCTCCATGTTTTCTTGATCTACCTACGCAAATCAACTGTGAGGTTCTTGTCATTGTTTAGTCAAGTTTGCGTTTCATCCGTCATTTGTGAGGTCTTCCGTTTCTGTCAGCCATTTATTCGCTCTACCATCTTCGCGCCAATATTTTCAATGTTTTAGTTGTAAGTTGTGGCCTGATTGTTTAATTTTAGTATTTTATTCGATTACATGTGAGCTTTGTGATCATTGCACCAGACCGATTCGACTACAAAGACCCCCCCCCCCCCGATAACTAAACTCTATTTCCTGTTCTCCCGTGCATAAATAAATTGATTCCGTTCCTTTTTGACGCCGCCGTCGTGTCAGTGACTGCCGCCGAACGTTATCGGTCCATCGCTCACATCGAGTTGCCTACCTACAAAAAATACTGCGTGGTGTAGATAAAATTGTCTATTATATTGTCATATTAGGCACTCGCCATATTATTATTTTTATTTTTATTTTTGAAATATTTTTTTTTGTATTGTATCATTGTGACTGGTCGTTCAATATTCATTTCGGCCCAAACACTAACAGCCAATCAGGTTGTCATAAGGTACATTATATATCATATTTACTATTTAAGAATAAACAAACGCACAAAATGAAATCAAATTCTTCATAATTTTATAACTTTTATGAAGATTATGTATGGACATCACTTATTCTCACATGGTAAGCTACCATGGCACTTTGATGTACATAACCCGTGAACAGATCGATAAGTAAATTTATTTGTTTTGCGTTTTGTTTTGTAGTGGCACCGTTGAAATCCTCGAGTTCCCATTACACTGTTGACCGCAGCCGCTTCACGAAGTGTAATTTCTTTTTCGGCAGATAATTTTAGGACGTTTTCAAGGAGAATACATTTTTCTTTATAAGGAAAAATTTATGTTCTTGTGTATAAATGTTTGAGAAACCCGTTCTTTGTACCTAAAATATTTTTTTATCAATTTTAAATTAATCTTTTTATTTCGAAATTTGCATACCTAATTTATACATGTTATCTTCTACCCTAATGATGACAGCCAATACTCTTCTGGGTAAAACTCTAGCTCGATCAATATTGGGGATTGAAACTCGAACATTTACTCCTACTTCAAGTTCTTCAAATTTTTTATTGGATTTTTTCAACATTTTTTTGGCTTGATTTTCCAAGCATTTTACAGATAATTGTCTTTCATTCAATATTTTTTCTTGTCTTATGTTGACTAAAATATAAAAATTAATTGTTAATTCACTGTAATTATTTTTTAAAATTATTGATTTTAATCACAGATTGACTCACTTAGTTGCTCATTGTTGACTAGTTTAACATCATTAAGAGGACGCCACACCGAAAACGAAACGCATACAACGACCGAGAGAACGCGCTGTTAGGTGTTTTCGCGATGCGCAAGCACGCGACGTTTAAGCCGCGCCCACCAGTCGTCGTCGGCGGTCGGCCGACGATTGTGCTCATTCGGGAGCGACGCTTATTATTTTCTCAACCTTCGTCTGCAGCAGATTGCGTAAATATAAAATGCATACACGCAAATGCCGCCGTATTATTTTATGTCCAAGCGTACCCATGATCTACTGATTACAATTTGAGTCACTGCTTACCTTAATATATGTATCATTTTATAGATTGTACAAACTATATTATAACAAAGCTTGATTTGTATTTATTGAATAATTACTTTTTCAAGTATAATTAAATAAAAAACTACAATATTACCTATTGTAATCATTCGTAAATTCTTTTGGAGTAGATATATATTACTTTTTATTTAAAAAAATCAAATATAGGTATAATTACTTACAATTTTTCTCTTTTTTCTTTTTCATTTAAAATGTGTCTGGGTTCTCTGATGTCTGTTAATTCTAGGCGTTTTCCATAAAGTGGACAAGTAATTTCGGGTAATAGACAATTCAAATAAAACCTAAATATCACATTTATAAATTAAAATTAATGATTTTTTTTTTTATCTTATTTATTATCATAGTAAGTAATGGCTATATTTACGTTTTCAATTTTTCCTCCATTTTTGTTTTCCAAAATATCTCATCAAATTCGATTTTTTGAACGTTTATCCAGTTTGGAGTAAAAATTACAAAATGACATATAGTACAATTAGTTATTCGCAATTGCCCTATAACTTGGAAATAGTATTTATGGTCCTTTTTTAGTTGTACAACATTATTTTTGACTGTGCAGCACTGTAACTAAATATTAAAAACGAACAAGTGGTAATTGTAGGTGTATAACATTTTTATTAGTTATAATATGAAATTAACTAAGAGTAATTATTCTTACTAGTTTATTTTCTACGGCTTCAAGGATTGTATTGGTTTCTCTTGCTAAATATGGGCATTTTATTTCTATAATACTATTTTCGTCAATTAGACCATCTAAAAAAAACCATAATAGTTGATAAAATTATAACTAAAATAAATAATACCAAATATTACCAGGACTTACAGCTAGAAAAGGGAATTCTATATCAGCAAACAATCCACATGCTTCAACTGAAACACCATATAATTCTTCATACTTATTTCTGGCAAGACGTTCCATTTCAACACCATATGTCATTTCTTTAG